AACTGGACTTTTTCTTCTTTTGTTTGCTTGAAATATCTATATCTGCTATGTTGTCTCTAGTATGAACTTCACTGACTTTTTAAATTCATTTAGCAACTCGTAAAGCTTGGCTTCCACTGGTGTTTCTCTTGGCCAGAAGTTTTGCCTTGATATGTTGTATTTGGGACAGTCTTGGAGAATGTTATCTGTTGTCTCAGGTGCTAATCTTAATGTGCACATGGCTGATTTTCCAATCTGAAAGTTTGTGCACATGTGGCTGTCAAGTCGACTGCGCCGTGTTCTGAGATGTAGAATAATGACATGCTCTGGTCTGTCCATTAAATAGTAATCATCTTGTGTCGGTTTTGGTGGCTTTCTGATTGATTTGGTTATTGGACTCAAAAAAGCTTGTACATGTGCACTGTAAAAGACAGCAGGGCAGACAGCAGGGCAGGTTTTACAGCCAACCCTTCATGGGAAGGTAACATTTGTTGATGATGATGATGATTTATAAATTACATGTTGTGTTTACATAAATTTGCTGAAGTAAATTTTATTACAAACTGTTGAGTATATATAGCGGTAAACAAAAAGATCCCTTGAGGCCTCCGATATGTGGTTCTGAAGATGAATTTTTAAAACTGCTGAAAAAAATAAAATAAAATATTTGTACAGAGGACATTGCAGATCAAACCCAGCATGTATTTGCTGCTTGTTTAATTAGGCAATTTTACATTCAGTAGTTTGCCACTGCTTGCGGAACAGACGGCTGTGGATACCAATGTCAAAATCAATACAAAAAAATGGTCTGCTGCCAAATCAGCCACAAAACCACCTCTTCTTCCGTCATAAAATTGATAAAATTGCTTGGAAAGGGGTTCAAATCCTGCGAATGATTGGGGATTTTTTTCTGTTGGGGATCAAAAATAAAATCCCAACATGCAGTCTGTGGCGACAGCACTAGCCGTGCGGCCCTAAATCCCCAGGCTCAAAGGCTCCCATTCCTGCACCAAAACAAGCGGTAATTACAGGCAGTAATGGCAGTTTTGGCTAGGATAGCCAAAATGAGTAATTAAAATGTTTTGATACAGGCTAGGACAAATTTCTCACAAATTTTAAAAGAGGCAGCTGCCCTGTGTTGGCTTATGAAAAGAAAAATGGAGCATGTTGTATCCACTAAAAAGATCTATGAAGAGGAAAAAAAAAACACACAGAAAGAACATTTTTTACAGCCTTTTGTTATGATGAGGAAAAATATCAGGACTCAAAAGATTTATGCTATTGGAGATCTCAAGATAAAGATAAATATGATCTTGCACACCAACTGCAAGGCACTTGACGATGATGATTATTATGATAATATGCATACTGTGTATAAGTAATTATTAAATAACAAAAAAAAAAAAAAAAACACTATAACATGATTGTTCTTGGCATTGTACATTTTCAAAAAAAAAAAAAAAAAAAATTTTCTGAGGCAGTTCTTGGTTGGCAGGTGTGAAAATAGACAAGCATGAAATGAAAACATAACAATGATACTGGTACAGAATTTGCTGGTACTATACCAAAGTCACTTCAGTGTCAAATATTTGTTTCAAGAAAATCAAATTTTTCTTAGTAGCAACAAAGAAAATTTGTGTGAAGTAAAAGCAATGGAAACTTTTTCATGCCTTCAGGCATATAGGGCATATGATACAAGGCCTATATTTTACAAATCAATCAGCACGTGGTGGGTGATGTGGTTCATTTAACTCTTTGAGTCTCAAGGAACACATCATACGTTTATAGGTTACTGCCTAGAAACCCAATGAACGCATGATGCGCCAATTTTAGGTCTCTTTTGACTACCCCTTGGGCCTGTGATGCTAAACCCTCTGGGACTCAAAGAGTTAAGGCTGAGTCGACCTGGGAGAAAGGTAATTTTTTTTTTTTGGTCTGGCTAAATATTGTGTAGCTGTATAATAAATATGACTTCATTCTGCTTTATTTGGAATAGGAATTATCATGTGAACCTTTGGAATATTGGGAGCCACTGTTGTGTAGCAGCTAGATGCTCACCTACAGATCAGAAGGTCATGGGTTCAAATCCAAATGGAGATAGACTTTTGTTTTTTTTTCTAAAATGACCTTGGTTCCCATGTTTACCCAGCCTTAAATGGGTACCAGGTGAAGTCCTGGGAAGTAAACATGGTCGACGTAATGCCCAAGTAATGCTGATTGGCCTAAACAAAATATAGCTCTAGCCCTATATGACCAACTTGCCTGAAGATGTGGAAAAAAAGCCCTTCACTTTTACTGTAAAATTACAAGTAACAGCCTAGAAAATTCACAGGCGGAAATTCTCAAAACTACACTTAGTTGATTTTGATGCAGTGACAGTTATTTATGTCCAAATTTGTTAAACGGACGTCTTGGTCAACAAGACCTTATTTGAATATACTGAAGAATCCTCTTCAGTTCATTTTAATAATGTCCATTAACAATCTAATTACCTCTAAGAATATTTCATTTCAGTGGACAACCTCCATAGCAAGGAGGAAATGACCCAAATTTGGTGTACAACACAGTTTACACATAGTGGCTCTCACAGAAATGTCTCAGTGAAATGTCACAACTTTGGTTTATAACACAATTTATACATGGTGGCTCTCACGGAAATGTCTCAGGGAATTGTCTCCACTTTGGTTTATAACACAATTTACACATGGTGGCTCTCACGGAAATGTCTCAGGAAACTGTTTCCACTGTGGTTTATAACACAATTTACACATGGTGGCTCTCACGGAAATGTCTCAGGGAAACTTTGGTGTATAAGACAATTTACACATGGTGGCTGTCACGTAAATGTCTCAACTTTGGTGTATAACACAATTTACATTTTTAACATTTTTGAATGAATGGTGAATATGGTTATATGTATGAATTATGTTTGTGTTGTGCGCTTGTGTTAATATGTCTCTATATTCATGGAGGCACATGTAAAAATGTCTACACCTTTCTATATAGCTGCTTGTGACAGATGCAAATCTAATGTTAATGCAACCTTATTTAATCGATCATGACAAATATAACAAATTTACCGCTACAAAGAAACAGAGGATAAAATCTAAACACTAAGTAAACACGCAAAGAACCCATAATCCTAAAAGCCGCATATTCAGAACTTCGGGTGGGGTCAAAGTCCCTGTAAATGCCACTTAACAGGCATATCTACAGTGACGTGTTTATGAGACATTATTTAATGCCACTGGCTGTGTTTGTATCTGTGCAGCATTTAGGAGGTCAGGAAATTAGTATGTTTACTAAAAATAGCATTTAGGTGGGTTTTCTTTTGAACAGAAAAGCTATAATATAGCCACTGTAATGTCATAACTTTTCCCATAAATATTAGTTTTAAAATTCCGACAATGAAATGAGGTCAAATTATGAATCATTAGAGAAATGAAATCCAGTTAATTATCCACTCCGATTATCGTTATTGATTACTCTCCTTTATATTTTCTAGAAATCTTTTATAAAAATATATATAAATAGGTGTTCAAAAATTTTCTGGGTTGATAGGGTTGAAGCATGTCAATTATATGGTAAGTTTAAAAAAAAAAAAAAAAAAGTAAGGAACCCTTTACACATCTTTGGCACATCAGACATACATTGCTATAGTTATATGGTGCCAATTTCATATTTTTTATATACTAATCTTACTAAATTGGTAATGTGGTCATCATAACGCTGACCACCTTTACTTTCCGAAGCCCCTACTGGTACCTATTTTTAGGTTGACCTGGGAACTTAGGTATGTTTAACTTTATCTATACCACATAAAGCACTAAACATTCAAGCGTTAATCCAAAGAGTATATACTCTTATTGCATCTCTTCTTCCATCTCAGATACAATCTAGTTTCAAAGACATTAAAATGAACCATAGATGACCAATTCTAAGAACAATTTTCAATAGTAATATCAATGTATAAGACACAATGTGCGTGATCTAATCAATAGTGTGCATACATTGATAAAGTGTATAGAAACTGGTGAGTTGTCAAAACCACAGAAAACTTGTTCCTGTTTACCCATTCCCACCAGACACCTAAAAAAGTAAAGTAAAGGACCCTTTTACACGCCTTTAGGCGCATAGGGCATATAGGGCTAGAAATATATTTCATAGACCGATCAGCACAAGATTAGTGATGTGGTCAGCATCACGCTGGCCGCCTTTACTTCCTGGGAATGCAACCGGTACCCACTCAAGGCTGGGTCGACCTGGGAGCCAAGGTCGTTTTTGAAAAAATGTCCGGCTCCGCCAGGGAACAAACCCACAACCTTCCAATCCATGGCAAGCGTCTAGCCGCTCCGCCATGGCAACTCCCACACCAGACACCTGGGGGGACAAAAAGGTCATGAATCTGGGAATTTCTCAAACAAACAAAAATCATTTTATACAGGCCTGTAAAACCAAAGTATTTATTTCACTCTAACCACAAACAGACATGCAAACTTGCTCGTCAATGCTCTACTGCAGCAGAACTAGATACTTAACATCGGAAGAAATTAGAGATAAAATATACCAGGCGCTTCCCCCCCCCAAACAATTTTGTTTTGCACCAATCAGTTTAAGCAAAGAGTTTTTATTTAAAATGTACCTACTTACTTTTACACACACATACATATATATACGGGCGCGCAGGCCTGTCTTACATTCAGCCCTTCCAAACACCCATCTTTCACACATTGACTTATACCATGACCGCTAAAAATCTAAAAGCTAAAAGTAAATTATGACATTACAATGACATTAAAAAGTAAAACTTTCCCCTCCCCAAATGCTATTTTTAGTAAACATAATAATGTCCAGGCCTCTTAACACCACGCAGGTGCAAACAAAACCAATGCCATTAATTAGGTTTGTCAGGGACAGGCCAATGCAACAAAGGTAAAATAAAGACGTGTGGGGATTTGTAATGGATGGCATCACAGAGTGAAAGGGTTAATATTGAAATCCAACATTATCTGAATATTGACCAGCCTGCGATTCTTTCAAAGCTTTGATTATTGCTTGTATCTTCTTTGATCTTTTGACTTGAATTTTATAAAGTCTGTTTATCTGTCTCTCTGTCTCAATCTGTTTCTTTGAAGCTGCATTTTTCTTCTTTAGCCACCTGGTATAAATATATAAATTTAAAAAAAACATACAGAATAACTGACAACTACATAGATAAATAACACATTACAAATGAGAACTGTCAAATACAATTTGTACTCAGCCCTGCTGTATGGTGTCGAAACTTGGACAATGAACAGACAACAAGACAATCAAACTGAGTCTTAGCAGATGTGGACATACAGAAGAATTGGCAGTATTTCATGGATACAAAAATTATCAAATAGAGGGGTTCTGACAAGATTGTAAAGAGTAAGTTACTGAAAAAAATGTAAATAACAAAATAAAAAAGGTAATAGAAATATTCTGGCCACATTAAAAGACATAATACTTTTTTTTAAAACCATACTGGAGGAAAAGGTTGAGAGGGAAAGATGTTGACAGTGATACAGTTGAAGGGAAACATCAAGAGATGGACAAATAGCAGTCTGAGAGAGTGTACAACCAGACAAGAAACAAATTGTGTTAGTAATCCATTGCAGCTAACCTTCAGTGTGAAGGAAGCAACTGACAGACTGATTGATAGAAAATTAAAAAGATGTATTGTCTAACCAAATAATGGGCTGACAGGAAATGAAAGCAGAGCAATGGACCATCTTCATGCCTTTGGTGTATCAGATATATCGCGCTAGTATCACATTTGTATATACCAACTGGCATTTGAGGGTGATGTTATCCACATTATGCTGAATGCCTTTACTTTCCAGGATTTTTCTTCATACTAATTTCAAACTCAGCCAACCTGGCAGCACAAATCAATTATAACTTATCCTCCTTCTTAGCATTTATCTGCTGTATAAACTATTGAAGACAGTTCTGGCTGTTCATCCAATTTTTTTACTTTAGTCTTGTTCCAGATCTTGAGTTTTGTGTGCACATCAGTTTCACAGATCAGGCTTATTTGTATGCAGACTGCTGGTTCCTTGCCTCACAGGCAGATACACTCTGACTTTAAAGGAAACACTCCTAAGATGTTGACTTTTATGACACTCTTGTTGGGGGGGGGGGGGGCAGTGGGACTATCCCCCTCTCCCTCACCACCACACAAACCCACTCTGGGGCCCCGGCGACCACGCAGGGACAATTATAACAATTTGACATGATGCAGATTCAAATCCAAGAACTACAAGCTTAGGTAACAATGTAACATTCACATAAACATAATATTCATGTAAATGTAACATTGATGTAATCAGGACAATTCTTAAACAGGTGGATCAAACAACTATTTTCTAACAGTAAACCAATTAAACATACAATATGACTAGCAGCTCAAGGAAAGAAAGGAAAGTAACACAAAAATAAAAGTGGATGATCTGTTCAAGGTTGCTATCAGTTAATAAGAAAACAGATGAAATCCAAGCAATACAGCGAAAAATAAAAACTGTTCAGGTTTCAAGTTATATTTTGAGTTCATTTAGTTTTCATTTACCAACTCAACTTTAGTCTCTTCTATTCTCAACACTGTCTAGGAACAGTCCAGCAGAAAATATGTTTGTTGAGATTAGAACAAGAATTCAAATACTTCCTGAGGTATCCACCTGGTTAAATACTTCTCTTAGGTATCCACCTAGTTAAATACTTATCGTAGGTATCCACCTGGTTAAATACTCCCTGAGGTATCCACCTGGTTAAATGCTCCCTGAGGAATCCACCTGGTTAAATACTCCCAGAAGAATCCACCTGGTTAAATACTCCCAGAGGAATCCACCTGGCTAAATACTCCCTGAAGAATTCACCTGGTTAAATACTTCCTGAGGTATCCACCTGGTAAAATACTCCCTGAGGTATCCACCTGGTTAAATACTCCCTGAGGTATCCACCTGGTTAAATACTTCCTGAGGTATCCACCTGGTTAAAAACTCCCTGAAGAATTCACCTGGTTAAATACTTCCTGAGGTATCCACCTGGTTAAAAACTCCCTGAAGAATTCACCTGGTTAAATACTTCCTGAGGAATCCACCTGGTTAAATACTTCCTGAGGTATCCACCTGGTTATGAGGAATCCACCTGGTTAAATACTCCCTGAGGAATCCACCTGGTTAAATACTCCCTGAGGAATCCATCTGGTTAAATACTCCCTGAGGAATCCATCTGGTTAAATACTCCCTGAGGAATCCATCTGGTTAAATACTTCCTGAGGAATCCACCTGGTTAAATACTCCCTGAGGAATCCATCTGGTTAAATACTTCCTGAGGAATCCATCTGGTTAAATACTCCCTGGGGAATCCATCTGGTTAAATACTCCCTGAGGAATCCATCTGGTTAAATACTCCCTGAGGAATCCACCTGGTTAAATACTTCCTGAGGAATCCACCTGGTTAAATACTTCCTGAGGAATCCACCTGGTTAAATACTCCCTGAGGAATCCACCTGGTTAAATACTTCCTGAGGAATCCACCTGGTTAAATACTCCATGAGGAATCCACCTGGTTAAATACTCCCTGAGGAATCCACCTGGTTAAACACTCCCTAAGGAATCCATCTGGTTAAATACTCCCTGAAACTGCAACAGGCACAATAGGCCAGAAATGGAAGAAACCCTGCTCTTAGACAAGATAAGAAGATAAATCAGACTGATCCCTATAGTAAACAACCAGACTGTTAAGGGACTATGAGAGAGAACAAAGATAACTGGAAGCAAAGCTAGAGATCGCCAACATAATCGATGGACATAAAATGTTGTTAGTAGAAACAAAAAAGCTGATGCAAACTACATTCTGGAGTTATGAAATAGAATAAAGAATTAAGGAGCTCCACATCTATGCATTTCCTACAGAAGACTTTTCTTCTCTCTCTGCCTCATTCATAGATCACATTGAATTTGCTTGAACACAGAGCATTCCAAGATCTTGGAAGGGAATAATTAGAGTGCGAGCAACTATGACAAATGCTCGCCTGCAGATCGGGTTCTGTTCCTTATAGGGTCCAGTCTTATACACTGACAAATACGGTACTGTCTAGGCTGAAAAACTGTTATATTATGTGAAAAAGATCAAATTTATGTCTTACTCTTTGAAAGCTTTCTCGCATTCTTCAGAAGAATGGTAGAATAACCCATCTGTCTTTTCCAGTTGCTGCCGCCTCTTCAATAACTTCTCTTTTTTCACCTGTTCTTTCTTCTCTTTCAGCCATGTTTTGTAAGCTTCCTCATTTTCTTCTTTCTGAAAGTGAAGATAAGAAATAACTGTAATGAAGATAAGCCATAACTATAATGAAGATAAGCCATAACTATAATGAAGATAAGCCATAACTATAATGAAGATAAGCCATAACTATAATGAAGATAAACCATAACTATAATGAAGATAAGCCATAACTATAATGAAGATAAGCCATAACTATAATGAAGATAAGCCATAACTATAATGAAGATAAGCCACAAATATAATGAAGATAAGCCATAACTATAATGAAGATAAGCCATAACTATAATGAAGATAAGCCATAACTAAAATGAAGATAAACCATAACTATAATGAAGATAAGCCATAACTATAATGAAGATAAGCCATAACTATAATGAAGATAAGACATAACTATAATGAAGATAAGCCATAACTAAAATGAAGATAAACCATAACTATAATGAAGATAAGCCATAACTAAAATGAAGATAAACCATAACTATAATGCCCACCATGTAGCAAGGAGATAAGCCATAACTATAATGAAGATAAGCCATCAAACCTATAATGAAGATAAGCCATAACTATAATGAAGATAAGACATAACTATAATGAAGATAAGCCATAACTAAAATGAAGATAAACCATAACTATAATGAAGATAAGCCATAACTATAATGAAGATAAGACATAACTATAATGAAGATAAGCCATAAACTAAATGAGATCCAAAAACCATGAAACTATAATGAAGATAAGCCATAACTATAATGAAGATAAGCCATAACTATAATGAAGATAAGCCATAACTATAATGAAGATAAGACATAACTATAATGAAGATAAGCCATAACTAAAATGAAGATAAACCATAACTATAATGAAGATTAGTAATAACCATAAACAATCTGCAACTGAGGTACTGACAATAAAAAGAATCTGCAAGGCCAACAATTTACAATATAAACATTACCATCCCAAACTCCTCAAGTCCAGAGTAACTGTTACTTTAAAACTTTCTAACCCAACATATTTATACTTCATAGTAACAGTCCTTGAGTCTGAATGTGTTATAATCAATCAACTAATAGACCATTTGAATTAAAATAACTATAAGACAGGATGGATCAAGATTTAAAACAAAAAAATGAGATTGACAAAGTCAAGAAATAATTCCTAAGGCTCCCAGGTTGACCCAGCCTCAATACCAGGTAAAGTCCAGGGAAGTATAGGCAGCCAGCATAATAATGACCACATCACCCAACAAGTGCTGATTGGTCTGTAAAACAGAGGTATGACCTGCTGATTGGTCTGTAAAACAGAGGTATGACCCCATTATGCCAAATACACCTGAAGGTGTGGAAAAGTTTTTTTAAAATTAACTTCACACAAGTGAAAGAATGGTGAATGGTGAAGCACACATCCCTGTGGTGTCACGGTGGCCTGGAGAGATAAGTGATTGACAGTTTCCAGAAAACGAGGAAGAGGCAGACCTTCATGAAGGTGGATACAAGACACGGCAGACGCATAGGCAATGAAAGCACACAGGGCCCGAGGAGAGAGAAGAGAAGGTGTGTTGTGATGAGAGCAACATTCTGTGAAGGTCCTGCTGATTAATGACGACCATGCAATCAAGCCAGAACAGTAGAAAACTGACAATCTACAGCCTAAACAACTTAAACTAGCAACAATATAAAGTACTTGTGAAAAATTAATTAGCAATTTATCATAAAATAATCATTAAAGATTTATCATAAAATAATCATTAACGATTTATCATAAAATAATAATTATTAATTTAAACTAAGGATCATTATAAACTATTTCAGTTTTACAAACTGACATTGTAATGGATAAATAAAGAAAAAACAGCTATCAAATCAACAGCTTTCATTTCAAATAATTTATACAGCTATTGCTTTACCACACAAATTATGTACAATGTAACAAAACCAGCTACATGAATAATCTACCATCTAATAAACAAGCCATAACACATGTATGTACATGCGCACACACACACACACTCACACATGCATGCAAGCACACACATATACATAACAAATTAACAGTTTGGAACATAATGGGCAACCATACAAGCTAAACACACTTTACTAAATATTTGCATATGTATGTATGTAGATGCTTACGAAGAGACATATCTACACACATGTGTGCATAGACATACATGCACAGGCAAGAATCACACATGCCAGCACAAACGATTTATTGATAAATTCATAGTTATTAAAATAATTTGCCACAGTAAACACGTACACAATATTTATATCACTTAAACATTGAAAGAGACTGGTAAAAATGTACTGGAGAAAAGAGAATTAAAAAATGCAGAGACAGTAGCACAAATGGATAAGAGTAAGGTACAGACTAAGAGATGAACACTGCCTACTTTGAACACTTATAATGCAAGCAGCGATTTACACTTGGAAAAATTACAAAAGAACCACTGGTACAATCAATGGTATAATAATTTACTGTAAAGTGAGAAGACAATTATTTGTATATTTTTACATGTTTTATATACAACATAAATTCTTGCAGGTTGCAAAGGTTACTTCAAATAAACAAAACACTTTTCATTATCTCCATCTTTTCATGTTGGGTGGCCTATTTGTTATCTATGATCTACTTGTCAACAAGAAAGCCGTGAGAGGTAGCCCACAGTAGTCTGTGTTATATTATCAGTATTTACAACAACAAAAACTGGTATCAATGTTTGACTTCCTCTAGTGGACTAGTAAACAACTGACTCTCTACACAACTAACCTCTAGGGGATTGGAAGGCATTTACCTGTAAAAAAAACTTTAAAATCTGTCATTTTATTTCTGTTTAGGTCTTCTTTTTAACCTATCTGTTCAGTCTATAAAGTAGACTGCCAATTATTTCTTAGATAGAAAGTAGCTCTCAAACTAAAAAGGTTGGCCACAAGTGATATACAGGATTATTTGACAGTCAAATTTTTTTTAAATTTCACATTAGAGAAATACTTTCCAGCCTTCACTTACAGAACACAGTTTACTGCCAGTTACTAAAATGTTTTATTTTTGTAATCTGTTTACTTTCAGCACCTCTATGCTATTATAATTGTGGTTAGGGGGATTAAAATGTGTTTTTACTGTGTATAACATTCCTACATCACAACGACAGTAGAAATAAAAAAATGTTGCTATGCACATTTAAATGTGAACCACATGAAATTTGAAACAGGGAAACATAAACAGGTTGACCAGAAGCAAAATGTAAAATCACCATAACAACAACAATCTACAAATAAATATAAATAAAAAACTTCAGTTTCTGTGGGTAAAAAAGGACTGCAGGTTGGTTTCTTTATATGATAAACATTTTCTCCCAAGAAGCCAAAACAAGGACATTTTTGCTTGTGTAAAATTCCCTGTAAATGTAAATTTTTTTTTTCTTCATCTCCTTAACTGGCTGTGAGCTGTGGTGGAAAGTTCTGGTTGTTCGTCCCTCTCCGGACTTAAGTCCTGTTAAAGAACCTGACTGTTGTGTGAACATCTGCTTTTTTACACATTTAGCTTATTTGTATGCAGACTTCAATGGATGCCCCCAGTTAGTCAACTCCTGCGAGATGCTTAGGAAGGCGGTGGGTCTGTTTTTGTTTTCCCCCACAGTGGGACCCCGGAACCCTCACAGGGAACCGTAAGTCCCAGATGGATTTATTCCACCTAAAACATTGCCCAGTTCATGTTTTTCTGATCACTCCTTTCATATATCTTTATATATTTTGTAGAGAAAAAAAAAACTGTTAAAATGTGAATAAATATATTTTAACAAATTTATTAGTGACCCGTGTAAAATAGTTTTTGTTTTTTAAATGTATTTTTTCTGTTAACATAAGGGGGTTATGACCTATATTTTTAGTGTTCCTGTGGTGAAAGGTTAAGCTGAAACTCTCAAGTCTGATGTTCAAGTCACCAGTTGAATGTAAAGCTGTTTTGTATTGATCAGAATGTGGCCGGCACAGAGATTTCCTCTCTTCTTACTACTGAAGTACTATTTCACTAAGGCAACTCTGTGGCTTAGATGTCAGAGAATGCATTAAACAAGGTTAGATCTCAGCTGTGGATGGTTTGTCTTGCACTGGTTTTGACAGTGGTACTGAGAGTTGACTGTGCAGGAAACAATGGCTCAATGGCAAACTAATGAACATGGAATAGGCCTAGAAAAAACCCACAACAGCCAAACAAATGCTGAGGTTGGTTCTGCAAGGTCCTGTAAAGGATACACAACTAACTTTAAATAATCAGTTCCGCATTTTCATCTATTTCTCAAAGGACTGCTTGTCTGTACATTTTCATGCAAGTTTTCTAACTGTCCAGAATTCACAAAGCATGTTAGTTCAATACAACACATGGGTGTTCTTTGTTAAACTAATGACAGGATTCTCATCAATCAGGTGCTATCACCCCAAAGAAGATTGACTGTAATGGATCTTCTATATTCTCTGTATCTCACCTTAGTTGTGCCCTCTCTGAGAGTGCTGTTATTTCACCTGTTGATGTTACCCTCCGATTTGTATCACTACCTATTTCTCACTCACTTGTCTTTAAACCCAGTTTTTATAAGTGTTATTTATGTCCTTTAATGCAGTAGAAATATTTCACTTGTCTTGGTTTATTTCATTTAACAGCTCTCGCTCTAATTTTATTCCCAGTCTCTTCAGACTAGTATTGACTGTGTTTGCTTCAATGTAATACAGCCTTTTCTTCTGTGTGTCCTCATTTCCAAAGACTCCTTTCACCTTTGTAATTGCTTGTTAGTTACAAATACTCACGGCATTATTAAAATTCATTTGACAAAGTGTTTGCACCTTTCTAAGTTTCCGGATGATAGTGTTTCACAGTGCTACAGAGAGGCACAGGAATGTTTATTTTTCAGCCAGCACCTAACCGGGGTCAGTTTCGGAAGTACTAGAGTGGAGGCTGTGTTAAACTAGTCTGAATGTGATAGTCTAGTTCAAATGTGACCTTTTAGGGAGTTTGAAAACACTGTGACTGGTCCAGCAAACTGACAGTGGCCTACTTTAGTGCTCGTAGAAAATGAAGACGGAGAAGCATAGAGATCCCAACCTGTCCTAATGGTGAATATGACTAGCAAGCCCAGCTCACTTTAAGAAGAATTTAAACTCTTTTTGAGTCGCAAACAATAAATAATATGTAAATCACCACTGCTGAGTCTCTTCTTTTGCTCTCTTAGTTTTGCTTTTGGTCAGAACACTAAAAGAACTCTGGCTTGATTGGTATATCACACAAAACCTAATTCTGGTACTGAAAGAGTTCGAGCACTTGTAATACACAAATCTTTACACCTATTTTACATTTAGTGTGCTTTGACAATATCTCTAAGGGCTTATGTGCAGACATTTAGACTAAAGCTTTCATGGGATCAGCTAGATAAAAAAAATATCAAAGAAAGAGGGAGGGAATACACAATGCAAGTTTTTTTTTTTCAGTCTCACTGTACCAGATTTCTCTCAAGCAAGTATGGATATATAATCTCATATGAATCCAAACTTGACATTTGACTTGCTTCTGATCCATGATTCTTCATCTGGCCATTGTTTTTTACAAAATAAAATATTAAAAAGATGGAATCATGTGTATACAAGTTAAATACTTGTTGACATTATGCTACAAATGCAAACAAAAAACACACAAAGTTGATTTATGAAGTAACTACAGTAACTACTGCATTTGTCCAGAAGTAGGTGAAACAGTGTATAAGTTCACTGAAATATAATGAAGTATATATATTTATTAATACATGAAACCCTAATAATGTTAAACTATAAGAAAGAGACAGTTAGTTTTCTCTGATCATGTGATGGGACGACAGAGCATCGGAGAACATCATGACGACTAGAAAGATCAACGGTAGAAGAGACAGACCAAGAGCAATGAACCTCAAATGCTCAGAATGCTTGTGTTGACTTCTTTATAATGAAAACAGTGTTTCTGTGGGTAATTTAAATAAAGCAGACACACACAAAACCGTTTTATGTTATTACAATTTTATAATTAAAATAATCATCAACAAGGGTGATTCCAGCAGATACAGTCTTTTAGCAGAAAGGCTCTGGGGTCAGTCATATTTTAAAAAAATCAGTACTAGACAATTCTCTGGAAATTATTTGTAAAGGAAAGGTGACAAGGAAAGTAGCTGGACACACCCTATCTTGTAGATCATCACCTAGAATATGTGAAAGCTTTAACCTTTACCCTCTAATGACAATACAGTATGCTTCACCCTCCAATGATAATACATTATGCTTTGCTTCACCCTCCAATGACAATACATTATTCTTCACCATTCAATAGTAATACAATATGCTTCACCCTCCAATGACAATACATTATGCTTCACCCTCCAATGACAATACATTATGCTTCACCCTCCAATGACAATACATTATGCTTCACCCTCCAATGACAATACATTATGCTTCACCCTCCAATGACAATACATTATGCTTTGCTTCACCCTCCAATGACAATACATTATGCTTCACCATTCAATAGTAATACAATATGCTTCACCCTCCAATGACAATACATTATGCTTCACCCTCCAATGACAATACATTATGCTTCACCCTCCAATGACAATACATTATGCTTCACCCTCCAATGACAATACATTATGCTTCACCCTCCAATGACAATACATTATGCTTCACCCTCCAATGACAATACATTATGCTTCACCCTCCAATGACAATACATTATGCTTCACCCTCCAATGACAATACATTATGCTTTGCTTCACCCTCCAATGAACATACATTATGCTTCACCCTCCAATGACAATACATTATGCTTCACCCTCCAATGACAATACATTATGCTTCACCCTCCAATGACAATACATTATGCTTCACCCTCCAATGACAATACATTATGCTTCACCCTCCAATGACAATACATTATGCTTCACCCTCCAATGACAATACATTATGCTTCACCCTCCAATGACAATACATTATGCTTCACCCTCCAATGACAATACATTTGCTTCACCCTCCAATGACAATACATTATGTTTCACCCTCCAATGACAATACATTATGCTTCACCCTCCAATGACAATACATTATGCTTCACCCTCCAATGACAATACATTATGCTTTGCTTCACCCTCCAATGACAATACATTATGCTTCACCCTCCAATGACAATACATTATGCTTCACCCTCCAATGACAATACATTACGCACCCCCCTTCCCTTTCCCCTTTTCCTCCATTGACAATATATTAGGCTTCACCTTCCAATGATAATACATTATGCAACCCACTCCAATGGCAATATATATCAGAGTCATATAGAGGATCATAACTGACACATTAAGCAGCAATCCTAGCAAAACTGATTTGTGTCGTTCTTTCTACAACTGAAGATAAGTCAGGAATTAAAGGACCCTTGTTAAGCCAATGGTGCATCCGGCATATGAGAGACTCACATTTTTAAAAACCAATGGGCACTCAGTGGATAAGGGGTTTACATCACGTGGACTGCCTTTACTTTTCAGGACATTACCTGATACCGATTTTAGACTGGGTTGAGCTGGAAGCCAAGGTAAATTTAAAAACTAATCTGATTTGAAGCAGAGAATCCAGGACCTTCAGGTTTTTAGACAGGCATCTAGCCGCTATGTTATTGCAGCTTCCCCAGTAAGATATGATAATGTTGCTAACAACAACAAATATATGGCCACAGCCGGATTTAGACAATGAGGATATAAGCTATATAAAACCTGAGGCCCCTACTATTTAAATTATGCTAGTTAATATAAGAAAACTTTAACATATATTGAAGCACATTAAGAAAGCACACCTATAATATGTACGGTTGTCAAGAAATTGGTCAGAAAAAGTGTGGGAGTACATTTTTCCAGTGTCTGTCATGCGGTAGAGCGTGAATGACAGCTGGAATGAAAAGTGTATGATTCAAAATGTGTAGTCGTTGTGGCAGTATAGTCTGTACAAAAAGGCAGTTGAGACACCCAGTACATGTGCTTGCAATGCCTCGAATATCTAAAAATGACTGTCAACGAGCCATTGGTATCTGGAGACTGGAATGAGCTCACATGTCATTGCCAAAAGAAGCAATTGCCACCACAACACTATTGTATGTCTCAGGGAACATTATGGAAACACTGGCAGGGCCCGGGATAGATGTTGGAGTGGCCAGCCAAGAGTTACCACCCCTGGGCAAGATTGGTATTTTGTGCTAAGTTATCTAAGGACAAGTTTTCTCTGACAAATTGATCAGAAACAGCAACAGTGAGTAAACATGGATAAGTCTCTCGAATGACAATCATATGACAACTCAGAGATACAAGCAAGACGACATTATGTAGGGCCAAACTTGACTCACAGACATTGCCAGCAGCGCCTGCAATGGGTAGAGAAACATGTCAAATGGACTAGACTGTAGTGGAATGCTGATTCAATCTGCCCTTTGCCTGGACGCAGAGTCTACACTCAAGAACCTGCAGCTAAAATATAACAGCTGGAAGCTGCTCTTACAGGTGAATGGAACTTGATCCCTTGAAATTTTCTTCAGAGCTGTAGTATGCCTTTCATGCAGAATCATCACCAAGATGTTAGCAAGCATACGGCGAACATACCAGATACTGAGAGTAGTGCAAATGAATTTATGTTTATTGGTTGCAACTCTCCCCCGCCCCCCTTTGCACAGAATGCAGAGAATATCATAAAAATCAAAAGTACAATCTCAAGCATGGATTCAAAGGAAAGTGAATAAAGATTCCAGATATGTAAGTTTGTAAACACTTATATTTACATTTCATACTCTGTGCCAGAATTACACAGGGGTGCATTTTTTATTGTGCTTCAGTATATTTTAGTTTTAAAAAAACAGGTGGAAGTTGAAACATATTAAACTGATTATTTTATTCACTTTAAATATACTACAAGCTGAAATAAATAAAAGCCTTAGATAATATACCCAAAACAATATTAATACAATATGACAATTTATGGGTATTTTTAAAGAAAACAAAATATATCAAAAGAATATTGCATTTGTGGAAAACAAAAAGGAATTTTGCGAGGCACCTACAGATTGTAGGATCCTAAGCTGTAGTGTAGTTAGCTTGTGCCTAAATCCAGTAGTGTAGAAAAGATGCTGGACAGTATGACATCATGGCATGGAGGATTATTTGTGTCAGAGTTGATTGAAAGTACATAAGACAGAAAGTTGTGGATAGACATGACTACCAACACCACATGGCATCGACTTTAAGAAGAAGAAAAGCTAAAACTTGTAACTTACCCGCTCTTGCTCCGACTTTGTCTTGTTAGCTTCATTACCTTGCCTCTTGCTGTCTTCCTCCCTCTTTCTGTGCAACCAAGCTTGAAAGGCACTATCATTTTCTCTCCGTTTCTCCTCAGCTTCTTCTCGTAATTTCCTTTCTTTCTCTTTCTTCTCTTCCTCAAGTCTTCTTGCCTTCTCTCTTGCCTCCTCTTTCTGCTGGGGAGTCATTGCATAGGGCGAATTGTAGTTAAATTTATCCATAACAAGGTTGCAGCAGCTGGGATGACCTGCCGATCTTGTCAGCTGTGATTGAACTGGCTGGACGTTTCTCCGAGGACCAGAAAATGCAGTATTTGGCCTTGGTATCAACGGAGGTCTGGGTAATATGTGTGAGGTGAAACTGTTATCAGTCTTGACTTTCCCAGCACTGTGACTTTTGTCTGAATGAATTTTATTTTGTACCCCTTCACTATCACTTTGTATTTCTGTCTTCTTCACTTCATTTTCATTTAAGAATACTGAACGTTCTGATGGTGACAGCTCACTAGCACTCAACAAAGCAAACTGACCATCTCGTTCGACCACAAATTCTTTACTGTTTGATTCAGCTGCATTTTCTTTGTGGTTACATTTATTTTTATTGTCAGCCTTCTCTTTTTCTTCAAATTTCTCTTTATCATCAACTTTATCTTTATTGTCATCCTTCTCTTTATTTTCACATTTTTCTTTGTGGTCATATTTTTCTTTGTGGTCATATTTCTCTTTACTGTCAACTTTCTCTTTTTCATTTCTCTCTTTATTGATACTTTTGATGTTACTGTCATCTTTCTCTTTATTATCATAGTTTTCTTCACTGTCATCTTTCATTTTATCATCATATATTTCTTTACTGTCAACTTTCTCATGGTCATTTCTCTCTTTATTGTTATTTTTCACTTTACCGTCATCTTTCTCTTTACTGTCAACTACCTCTTTACCGTCATCTTTTTTTTTACTGTCATCTTTCTCTTTATTGTCTTTACTGTCATTGCTGCTTCCATCTTCCTTTTTTAGAATCACTGATGAAGTAGCAATGTGTAATCCGCCACTGATACTGTTGGGCTGCGATTCATCATCGCTGAAGTCAAGAGGTGGCGCCACAAGGTCTACAATCTCTGCCTTGAAGCCCACTCTGTGTTGTCGGCTTTCCTCTGCTGGTAGTGGATCTTTGGCCAGTTCTGCATTTAATTGCTCCAAACGACCTTTCACATTATACTCTGGAGGTTCTTCATCTGTGAACAGATGTCAGGTTAATCAAACATGTCTGCCATGTCACAGGAAAAGTTTACAATACCTTTAAACAAAGATAGCAAATTTGAGGAAAATGAGACTGACAGCCTTACAGAAATGAACATACGTCTTAATAGTGCTCTTGACAGAGCCCATCAACGAACATTACATCTCCCCCCGACACTTCGATGAGGTACAAGGGGGAAGAGAAGAAGAAGAAGAAGAAGAAGAAGAAGAAGAGACTGACAGTTAATAATATGTAAAGTAAAGGCGACTGGTACAATTTTGACCACATCACTTATTCAGTGCTTACTGGTCAGTAAAAGTATGGGTCTAGCACCATATGCCTGACATCTCTCCCCCCCCCCCCCCACCCCCATTCCCCTAAAGAGGGCTATGGAAACCCACACAGGGATGTAAGGATACCTGCATTCTTCCCAAACAGATCATACAAGGAGACTCCTCTTGTGGGTTCTGGTGTCCCATTGTGGGGAAAACAAGAATAGACCCACTGCCTCCCCAACAAGCAGGTCAAAAGAGTTGACTAATTGGGAGCTTCCTTCAAAGTCGGAGTGCATCTGCATGAGAGGCAAAAAAACAACAGTTTGCATACAAATAAGCAAGGTCTGTAAAATGGATGCACACAAAAACTCAGGAACAAAGCCAAAGTCCAGAAATAAATGAACACCCAGGTCTTTCCACTAGAGTTTATAGCCGGTTAATGCAGACAACAACAACACATGGAGAATCTCAACACACCTCACAAAATTCACAGAACCAGCAAGCAGTGTTGCCACTTTGGATATTTTACATCCAGATTTAGATATTTTCCCTTGCATTTAGATGGTGTTTTTGATGTTTAGATGGTAGATGTTTTTCTAGAAGTTTTTCACCTGGAGTTAATTTATCAAATCTAACCTAAGAAACATGATAAAATTTGACCTCTTAAATGCTATCTTGACAATAAATTTAGGCCTGATAAGAGTAAGAAAATGCTGTTCCACTTAATTAGCTCCCTGATTGTGTATTTAAGAGAAATTAGAACAGCTAAAGCATACCAGAGTTATTTTGGATCTGAAGCTTCAACTTCATCATCCAAGCTAAGTTTATCCTGTGGATTTTGTAAGGCTGACATTAGTAAAGATGAGGACATGATTTTATAAGGTGAGTCCTATCAATAACTATGTAATTTGTGACTCTTTCTATTTGGATTTTTTTTTCTAGATGTTTTCCATGCAAATTTAGAAGTTTTTAAGATATTTTTTGACTCCATTTTGGATATTTTTTGTCAAAGAAAAGTGGCAACACTGCCAGCAAGAGTCCCAGTGTGTGTGCATATTATACATGCTATAAAAATCCAATCCTCTGTGAATCTTCTTTTCATAGTCCATGCTGTGGCATTGGTAGTCACATGTACATTTCATTTAATTCTGACACTGATGCTGTCTCCCTCTGCCTTTTTTTCCTCCCTCCAACTTCACCATCGTCACAATGTTTTTGTTTCTCCTTCTCATGACATGATCAAGAATGTAGACTGTCTGCTTCTAATGTAGGCAGTGAGTTCTTTTTATGTTTCTTTTAAGACATCTTCACTACTCTTTTTATCTGTTCAGGGCGTTCTCATAATTTGTCTGTAATACCAATTTTTCTCTAATTAGCCAACTATCAATGCTTCACTTTCATATGAGGGAAGTCAATTAGTAAGTAACAAATGGTTGTTTAAAAAAAAAAACCACAATAAAGACGATAACAAGTTGAAAACCATTCATTTTTTATACATACACTGATCTTTAATTTTTCAACATAATTTCCACCAACATTGATGCGCTCGTCCCATCGTTTTATCAGTCCTCCCTAACCTGCTGCATAGAACTGAACGCTCTGCTTTCTAAACCGAATTTTCACTTCACATTCAATTCTGCATCATTCGTGAAATGTCTCCCCTCAAGGTGGGTTTTCAGTGGACCAAAAATGTGGAAATTGCTCGAGGCAAAGTCAGGGCTGTAAGGTGGATGTTCCAGAGGTTCCCACACTAGATGGTTAATTTTCTCCATGTTAACCGAGCTGTATGTGGACTAGCATTGTCATGAAAGAGCAGTACTCCTCTAGTCAGCAGGCCTGGATGTTTTCTTCGAACTGCACCATGAAGCACTGACAGAACTTTACAGTATGAATCAGCATTCACACCATCAACTCTGTTTTTTCTTCTTTTTTTTTATTGGTTAAAAGCACTCCTTGACAATCCCAGAATACTGATGACATAACCTTCCCTGCTGTAACCTTGAATTTTTAACACAAGGCATAAAAGGATGTTTCCATTTCATTGAAGCATTTCAATCAATCATGCATTATGTTGTATGCTGAACCATGTGAGCACCCTATTGCATCTGCTACAGAGTCAACCGTTACTTGCCTGTCACCTCTAATCATCTCCTCCACCCGCTGCATGGATGCATCTGTTGCAATCTCAACAGGATGACCAGATCAGAATTCATTAACAATTCTAGAGCTTCCTTGAGAACATTTTTTTTAACCCAGCTATGTACCACTTTATGGGATAAACAGCTGTCAGCAAAAAAACAGGAAATGTTTCTTATCAATATCCTTTGCATGTAGCCCTTTTGCCCCCAGAAAACTCACAACAGCACATTGTTCTTTGAGTGTACACTCCGTAAGTACAGACTCCATTTTGTTTCTGTGATGCGAATGCGCATGCAACATCTAGAGCCACATAACGAACAAAGACATAAAGTTTGATGTTGCTGTCACCTAATGACACCTTTAGAAACCACCAACTACATTTTCCTGCCATCCCATAACCATTTGTGACTTAATTATTGACTTCCCTTCGTAGATCAGGATAGAGTTTATTATATAGCTTACTTTTTTGTGAGTGGCTTTCCTAAAATTGAAATTTGTGTCTAGAATAAACATTGATGAAAAACATTATCATCCTGTAGCCATTAACAAAACAAATGAAGATGATAAGGAGTGAACTCTGGGGAAAAAAATTACATTTCTACTATTGTTCACTTTTTCAGATGTTTGTTGGTATATTTATTCTGTAGTAAGTAAAGAAGTAAAGGACCCTCTTCCACTTTAGGCATATAGGGCATATAAGGCTAGACCTATATTTTTATAGGTCAACTGGCACAAACTGAGTGATGTCATCAGCATCACGCCGGCTGCCTTTACTTCCCAGGACTGCACCCGGTACCCACTCAAGGCTGGGTCGACCTGGGAGCCAAGGTCATTTTTGAAAAAAAGTCTGGCTCTGCCAGGGAGCGAACCCACAACCTTCCCATTCGTTGCGAGTGCCTAGCCGCTCCGCCACGGCAACTGCCTTATTCTGTAGTACTGTATGTAAAAAGAGGTTAAGAAAATCAAATGTCTGAAACTGGCATTTCTTCTTCTTCTTCTTCCTCTTCTATTTCTTTCACAAAGAGGGTGCTAAAATGTTACATAGAACCTGTTCTGCTGTATGGTAGCAAATCTTGGAATGTCGGTGAACAAATTAAGAAGAATTTGGGAGCAACAGAGATGTGGTTTCTGAGACGAATATTACGAATACCTTGGACAGCCACAGTAACTAACAACTGCTTGAAAGAAAACAATAAAAGTAGATCTCTATATACAATAATAAGAAAGAAACAAACACTGTTCTTTGGCCACATGATGAGAAGAGAGACATTGGAGAACATCGTGACAACTGGAAAGATGAATGGAAAAAGGGGTAGAGGCAGGCTAAGAAAGATGATGCTGAATGAGCTTAAACAATGGCATGAAGGGAAATCATCAAGAGTGTTGTTCCAGACAACCAGAGATCGTGATCTGTGGAGATGCATGATGATTTCTTTCACCTCTTCTGTTTGTATATTCATCTTCATTTTATTATAGGCTTTGGCTTCAGTGTCCTTGGCATTTCCGTGTTATTTTCTTCTTCTTCTTTCTTTTCTTTTTCTTCTTCCTCTTCTTCATTTCTCCTCCTCCACCTTCACATTTATCTCTGAAATCTGCACTTCTAGTCCAAACTGCATTAACACTTGCTTCATCTAGAAAATAGACAGCTGAATAACAGACAACAACAAAAAGAAGTTAAACAAACCTAGCAAATCTACTTCTTCTTGTTTCTGAACCATCAACTCCATCATTGCCCGCTGTTGGTCCTCTGTAAAGTGATATGTATCAGTCTCTGGTTCGCTGTCAGTGTCTGAAGGTTTGTCTATGCTGTGGTCATTTTCTGGCTTGCCCTTCTGGTGCTGACCTGTCTGAGCAGGGGAAGTGGCTGAAGATATGATGACCACTTGTTCATCATCTAACTCAGTAGGCTGTGATGTTATAGCAAGAAAAGATTCAAATAATAACTCTCACTGCAAGAAAAGATTCAAATTTTAACTCTCTCACTACCAAGGCTTTGTGTGGCTCTGTGGTTTAGAGGTTAGTGAAATCTTTTTCACAATGGAGTGCTCAACGAGTACTGGATTTGATTCCCCACAGTGAATGGTTTGTAAAAAAAAAAAAAAGAGGGTTATCATGGCTTTCAGACAGTAGTATGAGCACTGTGCCGAGGAAGATATTTAGAGCTCATCATGCAGTATTCCCACAGTTAGCAATGGATATGCTGCTGCCAACCTCCTGTGTGGAGACAGCTCCATTTCTTTGTTAAAGTTCAAGTGTGTTAACTGGTTAGTCTTCACCAGGGCTTTTTTCCTGATGGTACGCAGTACTAGCACATTTTCTTAAGTATCATTAGTTTCAACACTATTGTAACAGACACTGAGTGGTGAGTACAGGTTCTTTTTTTTAATGACATTTTGTGCTGGTCTATTGCTGTCTTTTTGTGTGTGTAGAAAACCAGCTCCCACATGATACGCTTTTTCTTAACTAGCATTATTTTATATAAAGGTTGGGGTCTCTGTGGCAAAGTGGTCAAGACATTTGCCTAGTTATCTGAAGGTCACGGGTTCATTTGATAGTGAGGCAGTTCAGTTCATGAGTGCAATTTTTATGGAGAGCCCTGAGGATTGTCACCGAAACTATGGAGGTCGTGCTCTGTGCGACACTCCCAGCAGGCAGTTAGCTGTTCTGCAGAGAGAGACTGAGTCATAAGGGATACAATCTGATACAATAAAGTCAATCCGCTCATCTTTACCTGTGCACATTCTACATAAAGTAAGCTTTGTCTATGAGGTGCTTTAAAAGAAAACATTGTGTGCCATCTGCACAACTAAAGTAGGTTACCATGTACCCACTACTGTCTTTGGGAATATTACGTGGTTATGCCCAATCTCTTCCATGGTATGACTCCTGTACCTTTGTATTTTTTTTTTTTTTTTTTTCTTAGCGTTCCTTGGCTGTAAACTCAAGCAGAAATTCCTGGTTGTTCATCCATTTCTTGAATTTTGTTTTGTAACAAAACATGAGTTTTGCATGCACTTTACAGATCTGGCTTATTTATTATATTCACACTGTTGGTTCTTCGTCTCTCAGGCAGATTGATTCTGACTTTTCAGGAAGCACCTCTAATTATCTTGTCGGCTCTGTGTCTAAGTCGATGCAAACACTTTGTAATGCCGGGATGTCAGGATTGATACCAGCTGTGGGCCATGCGCCTTGCGTTGGTTTGGACAGTGGTATCAAGAAAGCCGACCGTCCAGAAAGCAATGGCAAACTACTGGACGTAAATTTGCCTAGAAAAACCACACAACAGCCAGGGGCTGTTGGGGTTGGTTCTGCAACGTCATGTAAAGGATACGCAAGTAGCCAACCAATAACACGCTTATTAGTGGATCAGTGAATTTATCCCCCCCCCCCTCTCCTCTCCCTCCCCAAAAGCACACAGGGGATGCCATGGTCTAAACAGTTCCCCCCCAAAAAATGATCCACCACAAAAAACCAGACCCTAGTACTCAAGGCTCACGGAACTGTTAAAGTGGTTAACTAACCCCTAAGGCACAGAGAAACAAAGAAGATGTTAAGCATCATAGAAAAAAATGGTTATAGCTCTTAGATATGACAAGTGTGCATCATCTTCCTGTGTCCTCTTTGTCTTGTTGTGCCTTCAATTTCCTCCTGTAGCATAGCTCTCAAACAACTCAAGCAAAGAATCTTTTTTAGACTTGTCTAAGAAACTTGGACTGTGTTTGGATTTTGCAGCTCAAGATTTCTTTTGTTTAAGGGTGAAGAAGAGTCAAGTAGTTGTACCCGTTATGCCTAACTGGCGCATCAGGCATTTGATGCTAGACTTATAGTAGACCAATCAGCACTCGGTAAGTAATGTGGTCAATATCGTACTGGCCACCTTTAGTTCCAATTACATTGAATGATACCAATTTCAGGCTGGGTCATCCAAAGAAAAGGTCAATTCAAAAACCATCTGCCTCGATGCAGATTTGAGCTCAAGATCTTCAGGCTGGCAGTCCAATGTCTAGCCACTCTGCTAGCACAGCTCCCTCAGGGTGAGATAAAGGGATCCTGTTTTTCCCCCAGCTTTCAGTCATATCAGGCATAGAGAGTGCTAAAGCTGTCATTTACAGACCATTCAGCACTCTGTGGATGATGTGGTCAACATCATGTGGCACCTTTTACTGCCCAGGACTTTGCCAGGTATCCATTTAACTCTTTCAGTCCCAGGGTGTTTTGCATCAGAGGCCCACAGGATAGTCAAGAGACATAAATTCAGAGCACCTTGCGTTAATAAGCTTCTAAGTAGGAACCTCTGAATGCATGATGCATTCCTTAGGACTGAAAGAGTTAAGGCTGGGTCAACCTGGGAGCCGAGGTTAATTTTAAAACAATCTGCCTCGATGTAGATTTGAGCTCATGACCTTCAGGCTGGCATCTAGCTAGCGCAGCTCCCAAGAAGTGAGACAGCCAATCTCAATTCAACCATCCTTGATTACCTCTTATGGCATGCATGGTAGATTCCTATTCTTTGCTTATGAATTCTAGCAACACCTGGGCAGATTTATATTGAGTAGAGGATCCTTCTCATGCCAATACAGGGCAAATGGTACTAGATCCATAATTTCAAATATCGACTGGCACTCAATGGATGGTGTAGTCAACATCATTGTAATGATATACTTTATGAACTATTAGGCAAACAGCTAGTTAGCAGGAATTATGTTAAGAGGCGATGGGTAAGAATGGCCACATGCTAGAAAAAAAAAAAATACAGCTTAGCTTGACAGTTGTGCAGCAGGAGAATAACTGAGCGATAACATGAAATGCATGGGAAAGAATGGATGGTTAAAAGGATGAAAGAACAAAGGATTATTTTTTTGTTTGGCACTCTGATAGTTGACAAACCAACGTTTTAGTCGGCATATTAGCGCTGAATATAATCGATGGAGGAATGCTGATACTGACCTTTTGTTAGTATCAAAGAGGACATTTATGGACAGAAGAATGTCTGCAGCAAGTAGTGATACCAGCACTGATGTGCTTTGACAAGTCGAGAGCCTGTTTTTTTAACCTAGACAGATTAGAGACAGTAGACAGAGGATGGTATACACCTAGAACATGTTGAAAAGTATGTTCCAGTATCTCATGGACCCCGATCGATGTGTGTTACTGCTGTTACTGTCATTTAAATGGACATCAGAGAACACAGTAAGTTTGTGATGCATCTATCTCAACACAGGAAAACACATTAAAATCATGTTGGATCCCCTTTACTTTGTAGGATATTTCCAAGTACCCAGGTTAGGTTGGGTCAACCTGAAAGCCAAGGTTAGTTATACAATGTATGTTTTGATGTGGATTTGAACCAAAGACATTCAGGTCAGTAGGCCAACATCTATCTACTGCACTGCCTCAGTTCTCCAGATTGATGCAAGCAATAAGCAAATACTAACTTAATTGATTAGCCGGTTCTACCTTAGTCGCAGATAGCTGGTCTATGGATTGTGCTGATATCATTATTGCTCTTAGAGAAATAGGATGTTCACAGCATGTCCTCATATCTGCTGAGAATGTGAGAAATGGGGAAAATGTGCACACCTTGGCAGAAGAGGTCCACTGGACCTACAGGAAGTCTAGCTAACCAGCACAGAACTGGCACTATTAACGACCAGACGCTGATGTGTATGCTAAAGGGGAGATCTGAGCACCTATAAATGTGTCCACAGTACCATAAGATAACACAATTCATAACTCATAACTCAAATACTAACCTGATGTTTAGAAAGTATCCCTTCTGAGAATTCTTTGGAGAATCTGTCCGTGTCTAAGTCATCATTATATTTGTCATTATAAACAGTGCTGAATTTAGGATTGTTGTTATTTTTCTCAAAAATCGCAGACTCCATACCTGCATCTGAAATGAAAAAAAAAAAATATGCAATAGTATCATGTGCAAATGGTGTATACCATATAATCCCACAGTATACATCTACGTATGGAACTTAGAGATGCATTCCTGCAGCTTGGTACCTGAAAATAATGAGCCTGTACTCCAACACAGTAAACTGTATTTTGCTAACAGAAAAGCAAACTCAATCAAGACATTTGGATTGCAAGATAGTTTATTTCGAAGCTGGTCTCTTAATATGTTTTTCTGACCAAAGAATCAAAGAAGAAAAAGAAGAAGACACAGTATACAACAGTCTAGTTAAACAAAGTGTACATCTTTACCTGTGTAAACCTATTTTTGACCATGCAAAAGTCGACAATATTTTAAATGATTACTCTAACCCAGTTCTGCACCAAACTGTTTAGGACGTACCTAATTCCTTCTTAATCTCCAGCTCTCTGCAAGTGTATTTATGATGAACAGACCCCAGAACATATCTTGGAAGAATGTCCTCTCCTGGAGGAGCTGTGAAACAACATGTGGCTACACATGTTCTGACAACTAGGCTTTGGTGAAACAAAAGAGACCATGAGCTAACATCCCAGTTTATGGTCTACAGTGGATTAAGTGCATAACTAGAGATTGTTGAAGAAGAAGTTCAAACTATACCTATGCCAGTCCACTGGACTTTTCAGTTAAAACTCAACCTTCTAGAGGATTCTCTAATCAATTAATCAACAACACGCAAATTCTGTCAGAATCTCCTGCATTCCAGTTGATCAATATATAGATTTTTTTTTTTTAAACATCACTACGTTGTGAAAACTAACAAATATGATGAAAAGAGAGCAAGTGTTGCCCTTTAGAATGATAAATTGAGCATGGTTCTTTAACTGCTATACTGCTTTCAAAGACAGGTCAAAAAAAAAAGAAAATAGTTAATCAATATATCCATTTCTTATAGCTGAAACAGAGCAAGTGAACTGCATTAGTGTTCATGAACCGAGAACAATCAATAGTAGGCAAACAAAA